TCCCCGCTGCCACAGACCCTGGCTCCAGGGAGGGATGAGAGACTCCAGATGCCGGCGGGGGGGGGCGCCCAGTATTTTTGATAATAGCGGTCATCAGCGGACAGCTATTAATTTAAAGGGGACAGTCTGCTGAACAGTTATACTATAAGCTGATAGTCGCTAAAGCGACCATCAGCTTATAGTAGAACTGTAAATGCCAGGTCCGTATGGCATACTGACCTGGCCAGCTGGAAGCACTTTTGTAGGTCCGTATGCCATACGTCCTTGGCAGCGAAAGGGTTAAAGTCATTTAAGAGTCCAAAAGTGTGATGTTTAAGACCAGCAACTTATAGTCATTGACCTGAAAGCCTGAAATGGCTGCTATTTTGTCGGGAGTCCTAATGAGGTGCCACAGCAATATAGTAGAGATGGAAAGGGTTATCACATTGTCAGTGAAGAAGCACAACCATATAGATATGTCGTTACATCTAGTCCTTCGATGTCAGGATTTGCCTTGCTTGCAAGTTCCAGGGGCTTGATTTCTAAACTAAATATGATGGACAAGAGGGAAGGAAAGAATGCCCTTGGACCATCATCTTCCTCAAGCTCATCTCTATATCAATATCAATAAATTGGGACTGTATCCCCATGTAGCCAAAAGGGACATTAGATATGGCCATGAGAGGATATCAAAGGCTTTCTTTATGTTCAAGGATAACAGAGTGCAAGGTCATTCTAGGCAGATGCCTTTTGGACATTATTTGGTCACTGCCAATGCAAATACTCACCATTACTACATGTATGATTCGTAACACATGATCCACTGAGCAAACTGTAGCCCTCCTTGCACCGGACACAATTCTTGCCTGTGGCTTCACACATCAGACAGTTTTCTTCACATCTGGAAATTAGGATTTCACATAAGTACTGACCATAGTATGCTTTGGTAATAACCTTATACAAGGAGCCCATCATGATATTGGCTATAGTTATGCAAACTGTTGGATAGCTTACTTTCGGCAAACTTTGTGGGGCAGCCCAGGAACAGCTTCTGAATAAAAGCCTGTGCTGCACGTTGGCACACAGCGCCAGTCATGCAGGTGGTAATCTTTGGTGCATTGAGTACACTGGTCCTTCCCAGTTCCTGGAAAACACAAGATGGGATACACCACTGAGCATACAATTATGGACAATGACATTTAAAACTGCAAAAAGTTGGAAGCGCATGCATTTACAGTGGTCAGCTTTCATAAAACGGCAGCATCCCTTCATGCAAAAGGGTTTGCAACTTTCAAACTACATATGGCTAATGTATCAGGAAAGTCCAAATATCAAATATCTTCTTGGCTGTGTGGCTTTCTTTGTATCTATGGAGATGACACATTGGCTTTCACTAAAAGTCTACACTGCCCTATTAGGGCTGCTGTGTCCCACTAAGGAGCACACCAAACCGCTTTGAAGGCACCGGGACACTAAACTGATAAGGGTCCACTGCAGGATCTAATCAGGAATGCCAAGGGTTAATCTTCAGTTTTAATGTGAACGTTTTATTTGAGACCAGCACTGACTTGCTACAAAATGACAAATCACACACAGTAATACCAATTTATTAGGGATGAGGGGAGGGGATAACCACGCATTCAAAATAAAAGTTCCTTTCTTATGACTGGTGCTCAGTTCTCCAAAGCTGCATTTAAGAAACCTCCTTCATCACTAAACACTTCACAAATGTCCCGAAAGATTGTATGGAGAAAACAGCAGCAAATTCTCCACTCATGTGATGTCATAGCACTGCCAAAGCAATGAAGACTATGTGCAGGGCATCAAGGATCCTCTTGTCTGAAAATGAGCCTGTGGTTCTAATATAAATCAGCTAAAGCCCCGCATTTACACTTTCATCCAGCTGTAATGCAGTAAAATCTAGAAAACACCTCTGTGCTTTTCTAACATAAAATAACATCACAGGACACTGGGCCACCCAGACACTTTCTAATCTGCCTGTGTGTGGCAAAGCCACAGGACAGAGGTTCCTCTGCACGCAGTGTAAGGAACAAAATCACTGTGCTGGGAAAACAACACAATTCCCAAATATTTATTTACGTCAATACTGAACCTGCCAAGTTAGCTCCACTACTCTACTAAGGAGACGGCTTGGGATCATTTACACATCCTACTGGATTCACAGGCAATTCAATTTTCATTGATAAACAAATATGGGAGAGTGTCCAAGGGCCCCAATTTTGCAACTTCTCGAAATGGGAACCAAAAAATACAACATTCCAAAAGTTCTACATCTGGGAAATAATAGAATCATGATTTTAAGGGGTTTTCTACTTTCTCCAGAAGTGTTTTCCTGTCCCATTTTAACCATTTTCTGGTTCATGAGAGTCTAAAAGAAACGCTCTTGTCTAAATTATTATCATACAGGATTTATATAGTGCCAACAGTTTGCGCAGTGCTTTACAATAAGGAAGTCGTTACAATTACAATACAATTCAAGACAAGATGGTAAGGAGGGCCCTGCCCCTGAGGGCTTACAATCTAAGAGGGAGGGGCCCAGTGACACATGAGGAGGCAGCTGTGTGGGGATGAATTGTTTGAGATTGTGATGGTTGAGTGGTTAGGTTGAGGCGGGATAGGCTTCCCTGAAGAGATGAGTCTTTAGGGATCGCCTAAAGGTAGTCAAGGTGGGAGGTGGACGGACAGGTTGGGGTAAAGAGTTCAAGAGGATGGGAGAGACTCTAGAGAAGTCCTGGGAGACTAGTATGGGAGGAGTTGACAAAGGCCTATTGTTTAGCAGAAAGTACCATCATAGGATGGCATAACTGATGCCTGCTCTTTTATCAGTTCTGCTAGTTACAGGTCTGTGATCAATCACAGACTTGTAATTAAGAGTGCTTTAGGGACCTGCCATCCCTACCAACTGAGAAACAATCGAGATTACAAAGGGCAGTCATGCAACTCCTTTTATTCACCAACAAGCGTCCTCCACAAAAGGATGAAGGCACGAGAAGTGACCAATCTAGGAGAACATAGCTGAACTGGAAAACACTGAATTGGAGAATTTTTCGAAATTAGCTATTTTTGGATAGATTGTTCACTTCTGCCTTCTCCAAACTCTTCACCCTTTTATGAATAACCCTGTAAATTTGTGAGTCTCAGAAAAGAAAGTTAGTAATTTCATTATACAGATCATACACAAGGACAAACATTTAAAACTTATGACCATAAATTTGAGATCAGTGGGAACTATAAAACCAACTTACCCACACATGACTGGCAGGTTGAGTGGCACTTGTCACATTTCATGAAATCCGTGTTGAAAAAAGTGCCTGGCTCACACTCTGGTACACACATGGAACCTGAAAGGCTACAAAAGTGGCAGGTAAAACACACTTTAGTAATGTGTAAACAAAATGGATGACATTCAGACTATCTGCACAGACGTCTTTACATGCTTTGCACCAGCTTCCCGAGGTATCTTTTTCTTTTAGGAAACGTCTCTCTATAGTGTTAAGATTACAGTATACGGATGGACTCCTGATTTTGACAAATGTGCAGGAACTCCCTTTTCCAACTGCAAACTATGAACTCACCTTAATTCAGAGCAATGCCAAGAGAAATATACCAAAATGTAGTTATTCTGACATTTTTGGCGTGTTAACATCAACATAACCCTAAAGATAACTGCTAAAACTTAGCCTAGTAAACATGATAAAAGAGGCCCTGTCACCAGACTATTTATTTCAACAATTATTCCATAGCATTATATGTGCATTTAATGTATTTTAGGTTTTTATTTACCTGTAAAATCCCCCTATGTGTAGATATCCAAAACTCTGAGATTGCTGCTGGACACAACTATCTTGGAAGTGATGTCAACAGCCTTAGAGCTGTCACTCAAGTGTCACTATAGTTTCCTTTGCTCCTCACCCTGCAGCTACATAAAAGGTTATATAGCGAGGTTAACGGAGGGGCAGAGGAGCTGGACCAGCAGAGACAATCATTCAACACTACCAAAAGAGGAGAAGGCTATGACATGCAAGGAGGGAGGGGGCTGTGCTAGGGAATTGGCTCTTCCTGTCAGTCACATTTTCTAGCAAGTTCAGTGGCTGACTGCAAGTGAAAAAAAACAATTGCAGGGAGAAAACACTGCAAGTAAGCAAATACCTAAAATTCCTTCACACAGTTTAGTAATATGGACACTTTAGTTATGACTGAGAGGGTCTGCTGCTAGCCGTGGCCCTTCAGCTCTCATGGCAAAAGAAGCCCCAGCAAGCTAAAAACACAACTAGCACAGCAGCCAAGTAGTTAGTTTACAATTAACAACTTGTACGGATTGCGGAGGTGGCAAAAGCTCTAAAAAAGGTTTATAAACCACTTGCCAAGATTTTAAGATTATTGACAGTTGCTGCCAGTTGCCTAGTTACATTGATTTTGAAAAACAACATATTTACATCCCACACGAGAGTAGCAACCATCCCCTCCCCCATCCTACTACTACTGGTATAGCGATATGAGCAATACTTTTTATATAAAAGAAAAGCTTTACATTTATTATTTCAAGTTAATGATGGGTGTAGATGCAGTTTACATTTTTTAAGGCGCTATTAATTCAGCTGATAATTGTTTTCCCTATAAAAAGCAGAGCGGTCAATCAAGAGGCTGAAGACAGCGAACCCGGCAAGAAAATGGGAGCACCAGCAACGGAAGGGAGCGCCGACATTGCAGGAGGGAATCCCTTAAAAGGGAAGTCTGCCATAATGTGCTAATATGCTGTGCATACCCAGACCATCCACTTTCAAATGTGATTGGAAATAAAGGAATTTTACTCTACCAAGTCAGTGCCATGGGAAGTGGCAGCACTAAATATATAATATAAAGAAGATGTAAATGACATTTTGTTTGCTAAAGCACTTTGTGTCAAATAACTGACATGTTTTTTTTTTGTTAAATAAAACATGTTTTTCACCTTTTCTTTCATCCTTCGTTACATTTTAATGCTGCTGATTACCTGTAGCCCCTTTGTGACACATCTTGGCTACATGCATGCACAGTGGACCATGCTTGCATTATGTGCGCCACTTTTAGTCTCCATCGGAAGCCTGAACAAAGACCTTCATGGCAGGATAATCAGGTTATTTTAATGACCGATGCAGACTTGAAAATTTTAAATTACATTCAAGTTACATTACCATAACACATTAAAACTTTTATATAGATATTAGTGATTAGGTTTATATGAATCTTTAAATTATATGGTGAGAAATATTTTAAATTGGCAGAATTGTAGCACCATGGGCTCAACCTGCATACAAATGTTTTCTCCCCAGAAGAGGGTGCTATATCAATCTACACTACTACCGTTACTGCCACTATTAATAGGGTAATGACAGGCCTGGTCTTCCCCAATTTCTATTTGTACTATGCAGCTGCACAACTGGTACCCGATTGGTTGGTTATTAATGCTTGGTGTAAGGTTCCCTGCTCCCCACTGTGGAGTAATCCCACCTATCAAGACTTATTTACACTTCCCAATGCTCTGTTCTGGCCCTCAGTGGGTATTAAGTCACTGCATCACTGGTTTAGAACAGGATGTTTGGTTACCTTCCCCGATGTTCAGGAGGAACTAGGGATGTCACCTGTATATTTCTTAGCCTACTTTGAGTTATTGCGTGCCGTTAGGGCCCAATTTGGTACAACTTCATTAACCCTGTAGATGGAGGAATCTCCCACTGGGCCAAGCTTCAGTATCTTGCTAGTCGGCTCTCAAAAATCTGATTGGATTGGATGTTCAGGTATTTTGAGAGCCAGAAGGGCCAACTAGAAAGATACTGCAGCTTGGCCCAGTGGGAGATTGCTCCATCCACACAGTTTGGCGTAGTTGGAGGAATCCGTTGCACTTTTTCCATCTGACCATAGAAAATCTGCAGATAATCTATAGGTGCATGGCCAGCTTTAGGGTATTTTTATACTGTCAGCTTGTGGAGTGGCAAATGTAGTAAATGTTTTTATTTGAAAATATTTCCCTAAGATAATTCCAATGCTCACGTTTAAGTAAAAGAAAGTTAGTAATTTCATTATACAGATCATACACAAGGACAAACATTTAAAACTTATGACCATAAATTTGAGATCAGTGGGAACTATAAAACCAACTTACCCACACATGACTGGCAGGTTGAGTGGCACTTGTCACATTTCATGAAATCCGTGTTGAAAAAAGTGCCTGGCTCACACTCTGGTACACACATGGAACCTGAAAGGCTACAAAAGTGGCAGGTAAAACACACTTTAGTAATGTGTAAACAAAATGGATGACATTCAGACTATCTGCACAGACGTCTTTACATGCTTTGCACCAGCTTCCCGAGGTATCTTTTTCTTTTAGGAAACGTCTCTCTATAGTGTTAAGATTACAGTATACGGATGGACTCCTGATTTTGACAAATGTGCAGGAACTCCCTTTTCCAACTGCAAACTATGAACTCACCTTAATTCAGAGCAATGCCAAGAGAAATATACCAAAATGTAGTTATTCTGACATTTTTGGCGTGTTAACATCAACATAACCCTAAAGATAACTGCTAAAACTTAGCCTAGTAAACATGATAAAAGAGGCCCTGTCACCAGACTATTTATTTCAACAATTATTCCATAGCATTATATGTGCATTTAATGTATTTTAGGTTTTTATTTACCTGTAAAATCCCCCTATGTGTAGATATCCAAAACTCTGAGATTGCTGCTGGACACAACTATCTTGGAAGTGATGTCAACAGCCTTAGAGCTGTCACTCAAGTGTCACTATAGTTTCCTTTGCTCCTCACCCTGCAGCTACATAAAAGGTTATATAGCGAGGTTAACGGAGGGGCAGAGGAGCTGGACCAGCAGAGACAATCATTCAACACTACCAAAAGAGGAGAAGGCTATGACATGCAAGGAGGGAGGGGGCTGTGCTAGGGAATTGGCTCTTCCTGTCAGTCACATTTTCTAGCAAGTTCAGTGGCTGACTGCAAGTGAAAAAAAACAATTGCAGGGAGAAAACACTGCAAGTAAGCAAATACCTAAAATTCCTTCACACAGTTTAGTAATATGGACACTTTAGTTATGACTGAGAGGGTCTGCTGCTAGCCGTGGCCCTTCAGCTCTCATGGCAAAAGAAGCCCCAGCAAGCTAAAAACACAACTAGCACAGCAGCCAAGTAGTTAGTTTACAATTAACAACTTGTACGGATTGCGGAGGTGGCAAAAGCTCTAAAAAAGGTTTATAAACCACTTGCCAAGATTTTAAGATTATTGACAGTTGCTGCCAGTTGCCTAGTTACATTGATTTTGAAAAACAACATATTTACATCCCACACGAGAGTAGCAACCATCCCCTCCCCCATCCTACTACTACTGGTATAGCGATATGAGCAATACTTTTTATATAAAAGAAAAGCTTTACATTTATTATTTCAAGTTAATGATGGGTGTAGATGCAGTTTACATTTTTTAAGGCGCTATTAATTCAGCTGATAATTGTTTTCCCTATAAAAAGCAGAGCGGTCAATCAAGAGGCTGAAGACAGCGAACCCGGCAAGAAAATGGGAGCACCAGCAACGGAAGGGAGCGCCGACATTGCAGGAGGGAATCCCTTAAAAGGGAAGTCTGCCATAATGTGCTAATATGCTGTGCATACCCAGACCATCCACTTTCAAATGTGATTGGAAATAAAGGAATTTTACTCTACCAAGTCAGTGCCATGGGAAGTGGCAGCACTAAATATATAATATAAAGAAGATGTAAATGACATTTTGTTTGCTAAAGCACTTTGTGTCAAATAACTGACATGTTTTTTTTTTGTTAAATAAAACATGTTTTTCACCTTTTCTTTCATCCTTCGTTACATTTTAATGCTGCTGATTACCTGTAGCCCCTTTGTGACACATCTTGGCTACATGCATGCACAGTGGACCATGCTTGCATTATGTGCGCCACTTTTAGTCTCCATCGGAAGCCTGAACAAAGACCTTCATGGCAGGATAATCAGGTTATTTTAATGACCGATGCAGACTTGAAAATTTTAAATTACATTCAAGTTACATTACCATAACACATTAAAACTTTTATATAGATATTAGTGATTAGGTTTATATGAATCTTTAAATTATATGGTGAGAAATATTTTAAATTGGCAGAATTGTAGCACCATGGGCTCAACCTGCATACAAATGTTTTCTCCCCAGAAGAGGGTGCTATATCAATCTACACTACTACCGTTACTGCCACTATTAATAGGGTAATGACAGGCCTGGTCTTCCCCAATTTCTATTTGTACTATGCAGCTGCACAACTGGTACCCGATTGGTTGGTTATTAATGCTTGGTGTAAGGTTCCCTGCTCCCCACTGTGGAGTAATCCCACCTATCAAGACTTATTTACACTTCCCAATGCTCTGTTCTGGCCCTCAGTGGGTATTAAGTCACTGCATCACTGGTTTAGAACAGGATGTTTGGTTACCTTCCCCGATGTTCAGGAGGAACTAGGGATGTCACCTGTATATTTCTTAGCCTACTTTGAGTTATTGCGTGCCGTTAGGGCCCAATTTGGTACAACTTCATTAACCCTGTAGATGGAGGAATCTCCCACTGGGCCAAGCTTCAGTATCTTGCTAGTCGGCTCTCAAAAATCTGATTGGATTGGATGTTCAGGTATTTTGAGAGCCAGAAGGGCCAACTAGAAAGATACTGCAGCTTGGCCCAGTGGGAGATTGCTCCATCCACACAGTTTGGCGTAGTTGGAGGAATCCGTTGCACTTTTTCCATCTGACCATAGAAAATCTGCAGATAATCTATAGGTGCATGGCCAGCTTTAGGGTATTTTTATACTGTCAGCTTGTGGAGTGGCAAATGTAGTAAATGTTTTTATTTGAAAATATTTCCCTAAGATAATTCCAATGCTCACGTTTAAGAGGACTGTAGGGGGCCATTTATTTAGGGTTTAATAATGGTGTATGTCGCTGTGTTTTTTGCTTTTGTCCTATGTATGCAAGCATGTTTAATTGTTTTATTTACCAATTTTTTAATTCACCTCCTTTTAACAGTTTTTGCCATATATTATAGAATATTAAGTTTATAAACAGGGTAAATAGACTTTACATTTTTCTTCTCTTTGTATGGAGCTATAACAGTGGTTTACCTAATCTGCCACAGGTGGGTGACCAGTTTTTCCAAACCCTTCACCACTTTTGTCCAAAACATTCAGTCTGTTCCTCACAAATGTGAAGGGAAATGGGTGGTGTACATACTTCTAAGCATGCTGGCACTTTATCAAGAAAACTCAAAATTGACAAATACTTTGTTCATCATCCAGCCCCTCTCGTCCCTGTACCCCTTATACACTCCATCCGTGACAAACCACTCTGTCATATTCTGAAGGCAGCCAGTAGTAGGGGAACCTCCTGAGCTTTTAGCTCTGCTGTCTGCACAGTCCATGTAAAGGTAATATTTGGGTTGCAAAGGTAATATTTGGGTTGCAAAGGCATTTGATGCACAAAGTGAATGTATGTCCCCTGGTAGCTATTGAGGAATATATTTAATTTAAAGTTCAGCTACAACCATTCAACCCATGCACATTTTTTTTTATTCGTAGAGGGCACATCCAGACTTTAGTAATACTTTCTATCCGTAGATTACAGAAGTGCCATTGTAGTGAAAACCTTCAACTCACCTACAATACTTTAAGCAGTCCCCCCGCCATTCATTTAGAGCAAAATATATATAGATAAGTTCCTGAAGCTCAGGTGTGGTAATTAGTCAGCACAATGAAGGAAATGGCAGACGGCTGGCAGCCTAGCTCCTGCTGGATGAAGACTTCCCTTGCTTTGGAATATGGTCAGATAGCTCCAGCTCATGTTTTGCTAAATTTTGAATATCACCCTCATTAATTACAAAATCTTGGCAGATGATTAGCGTACACAGGCATGAACTTCTAACCTCGGCCTCCATGGGAGGAATCCAGAACATCTTATTATCTATTACATGAACCAAGATCAAAACTGACTGCTTCCACCAACAGGGGGTTGTCTAAAAATTATGTTTATGTTTAGCAATGAAGGTCAATTCCTGTGTTTGTGCAAAATAAATAAATATTTTTATTTTTTATTGATTATGTGAGATGCCAACTCACATAAAGGTGTTTCCTATCCTGTAGCATGCAATGTTCTCAAGCTGGTCTTTAAAGTGACACTAAGCTCAGGAGTTAAACCTTAAAAATACATTCAAGTACCACAGCTATTAACAAAAATGTATCTTATTTGTGTATCACTCGGCTGTAGATCCTCAAATCATCTCTGAATTGGTGCTGACACTGTCCTTCCTTCTGGAGGGTGGCTACTTTTGTTTACCATGGTCCCTGTGTGTGTTTTAAAGTAGCCACCGCTCCAAGCTCACTCCCATGATGGACTACAATCTCAATATAAATTCGTAAACTAAACGTGATTGTCGTCCATCCCGGGAGTGATGCACAAAAGGGGCTACATTTTTAAAATAAGACATTTATGCATCTTTAAGATTTAACTCCCACGTTCCCTCACTACGATTTCACAGAACAGAAACATGATACTTGATGTATATTTGCTAGTAAAATCCATCTTGGATCTGGAAAAAGTTAAGCTGGGTATACATGGTTAGAATTTTGTTTGAAAAAAAAAAGCTTGTTAAGTTTCCTAATAGTTTGAGTCGAATTGACAATGGATTTAGACTGTATTTTTAAATCTACCCGTGTATGGCCAACTTAAACCCCCCAAATATCTACAATCTGACTTGCTGGACTCTGTGGACACCCAACGATGGCAGTACAAACACGAACACAAAGTAGAAAGCATTGGGGCACATAATTATTTTTTGTGAATGGTGCATTAACTGCCATGTTTTACTTCTAGCCATTAATGACCGACTAGATGAAAGCGTTTTTCTCTTTTCCTATGCTTTTTGTATAGAGAAAAGCTACCGTCAAGTTTATACTGCTCTTTTTGACACAGTGGGGGACATTTTCCCTCACTTTCTGCAACATCAAAAATGTAATGAGAGAACAGGTGTCACACGGAACGCCAAAAGTGCTTTTGGTGTTAGGTTTCCATTCCAGAAATTTCCCTCGACTTAGTGTATATGTTACGCACTGTCAGCAAGACAGAAAACAGGAGGAACTTTTCCCAATGAGGGCACAGCATTACAAACCTGACAAATGTTTTAGTTTTATATCCAAAACAAAAAAACTCCCAAATAAACACCATTTACTTTCTTCTTCTTCCAGGAGTCACTTCCTACCTCAAGACTGGCTGGCTGGAGTTGGAGGGTCATCATGCTATAGTCACAGGAACAAGCCCCAGGGGTGTAATTAGAGACACATTGCAACACTTGTGGAGGAATTCTGTACAAATAGTGTGTCTGTAAAAAATTAATCAAAGCACTTGGACTTGCTGTATTTTTCTTAAAGACGTTTCAGTATTGAGAAAGCTAGTTGGATACACAGCAAAACATCTTTAAGAAAAATACAAGCCCAGTTGCTTTATTTTTTTTACAGACTTACCATGACCGGGATGAATGAGAACCTTTGCAGACATATCTGTACAATAGTGAATCAAAATTCACCCATACAAGGACACTATGATTTCAGTTTTTGGCTAGCAATAGAAACCCATAACAAGCTCTAGACTGAATTAGTAAAGGACTAGTTTAGTTAACACTAAACTACAAAATG